CCCCCCCCCCCCCTCCCCATATAAATAAATGAAGGATTACTGCACCCGAGAGGCGTAGCTTAGCTGGTCGAGAAGATAATTTTAGAATGATTAATTTGACTATATATATTGGAGACTACTCTAGTTCGGATTGATAGCGTGGGACCACGGGGGTTCGGTCCAGTTGGGGTATAACTATAACCCTTTTTTTACAAAGTATTGCACGTGCCACAAATATAATAGACAAAACTCACTATTAATTGGCCCAGAATTGAAATTTACGTAATTGGTCTAGACCAAACTCATTATTAATACATACAATTTGAGAAAAATAATGACTGACATTCGTTCTAATTAACTAGAAAAGTCAATTTAGACAAATACACAGGTACGAAGTCTGACAAATGCAAGTTAAAATGAAATTCTTACGCGTAACAGTGATAGATGTCATTCTCGTATGACTATATTGAAGACTACTGTTCGGATTGATAGTGTTGGACAACGGGGGTTGGGTCCGTTGGGGTATAAATATAACCTTTTTTACAAAGTATTGCACGTCCCAGAAATATAATAGGCAAAACTCACTATTAGTCGGCCCATAATTGAAATTTACTTCGTACGTAATCGGTATAGACCAGACTCATTATTAATACAATTTAAGAATAATAATGATTGACATTCGTTCTAATTAACTAGAAAAGTCAATTTAGACGAATACACTGGTACGAAGTACATATTTGTTTTTTCAAAAATGCTAATCACATGTTCACATGAGCATTTAAACATACTAGTAATCCACAACGTTTTGTTTCATTTGTACTTTAGTATTTTTTTTTTTGAGAAAAAGAGTAATTACCCTGGTATTTATTGTGGGCCATTATTAAGACCTTTTGGGGGTCCCTTTCCGTAGGTGCCATATAAAGCGGGCCTTGGAAAGGACGCAGTGCATCATTATATTGGAATTGGTCTCATTGTGGCCATATATTATTAGTATGACATTTGGGCATTTGGCTAATAATAATTCTCCCTAGACCCTAATTAAGCTCATACTTAAGCCCATTTCCAAGCTACTTCCGTTCCTACGTACTAATTAACTGTCCTGTTTAGGATCCAACCAAGTACTCCACTGTATCAAGGGCTATTCAATAATTACTACTGCTACTGTATGCATTATTTGTACTGTGATTTACAGTATTGTTTGTGCTGTTTCAATATACTCCAAACATAATGCAACCATTTTTTAAAAAAATATAAAATACTCTCTCCCTCCCATGAAAGAAAATTTTTGATTGAAAATGGAAATATTTTTTTGGGACAAATGAAAAGCTAAAGTGAAATGAGATTTTTGGACGGAGAGAATATTAATAATGCAACATTACATTTACAATGGTTTTTTCCATTTTGCAATTAATGACGAATTGTGAGTCAGTGCTTCTGCTCATGCTTGAATTCTGGTGAGTAGGCATGCTACCACTCAGGTCAAGGGAGTCGTCGGGGATAGTATGACTTAAATTATAATTTTTATGTAAAAATCACTACACGATTAAAAGTCAGTATATCGTAATATTTTAATTAACCACCTTAAATGTTAGAATAATAAAAATATTATTTCTCACTTCCTCTAATATAATACTCCACCATCCTCAAAAAATATTTCAAATTTGTCTTACACAGAAATTAAGAAAAGTTGATGTATACTCCCTCCGTCCAAAAATTATTTTTCCATTGCGCGTTACGATATTTCACAGAAGTTATTTTTTTAATCATTTTTTAAAATGGTGTATAATTAAAAAAATAAAAATCACATATTTAAGAACCATATCAAGAGATCTGCAAAACTAAAGGTGACATGATTATATTATTTTATGAAATTGGCAACAAAAACAGGTCAAGAAAATGAATAAAGTTTGACTATGAGAGTAGTAAACGGAAAGATAAGTTTTAGACACATGGAGTAAGAGACGAAACAACAAAAAAAGTAATATGATCGTTTAAAACCTTTTTGAAACTACAACAATGAATGTTTTTTGGGTGGTCAGGAAAAGAAAATGCGGAATATTTTTGTGGAACAAGGGAGCATCAAACGTGTGATTACTTCCACCCCTAATTAAACTACATAATATCAATTTATGATATTTAATTTAAATTATTTTCAATTCAAATTATTTGAGAATAGAAGTGAAATCAAAAGAAAAAAATTACATAAATAAAACATAAATCAAAAGCTTTATCAAATACTAGTAAGAGATAATTGGTGGGCTTCATTGGCGTAATCTATTTCAATCTCAACACTACCTATCTCAATAGATGCGGGCCGCTTGCGTAAAACAAAAGTGTTAACGACCCGCTAACATTTTTACGAGGCCCAACATGGGTTGGCCGGGCCCGTCCGGGCCGGTCAAACATTGGTCAAACATATTCCCTGTGGCATGACTGATAGAGATTAGAGGAGAGAAGATGTGAGAGAGCAAACCCGTGAGCAGAGAGTTTGAGCGTGAAGAAATGGAAGTGATCATGGCGGGAACGATGCCTCCGCCGCCGTCGAGGCGTCGACACGGCCAAGGCGGAGAGATCGGTGTGGTTTATGAAGGTTCCACCAGCTGTCTCCTAGTCGTGGCAATCTCAGGCCACCGCCTCCTTCGATGCTACCCCCCAGTTCTCGATCATCTTCATCCTGATGATTCTCTCCAGGTATTGTTATCTGTATACATGCAATTAAAATTCAAAACATGAATCTACTAATTCTTATTTGCATCGGAAGACTTAGGTGGCTACAACTGTCTTATTCGGAGTTATATTTTCGTAATTGAGTTCTCAATTAGGTCATTGATATTGATCGTGGAATAAACATGAGGTCCATTCCTGGAATGCTTAATCTATGAGTTCAAAGGCAATTATTTTGTTCTATGCATTACTTAAATGCTCGTAAGTATATGCAGCTGAACCGCCGGATAGTGAATACACCACATCTATACCATGTTAATTTGAATTTTGGAGTCAGACATGAAGAAAGAAGGGAAAAAAATTGTTTCATCATGCGATCTCAAGAGTGCATTTGAGATAAGGAGACTGAATTCAAAAAGACAAGGAGGGACCGTGACGAGCTGGAAGATGTTCTGCATTTATGTTTAAACTTTTTGAAAGACAGCCTAATTGGACCTTGAAACAGCTAATCCTAGACATTGATCAACCTAATGTGAGTTTTCTTTATAGCTTCCTATTATGATTGTATGACCAACTATTGAACTACTTGTTGTCATATTTTTTATTTGTGCCAATCCCAATTGCAATAGTTTATTGATTGATAAGTTACTATGAGGAAATACTGAGTATGAAAGTTGTTCTAGTACTTTAGTTGAAGCTAATAATCAAACCCAAAAAGATAATATTGGGAATGAATCAAAACACAGGAATATAAAATTAGGATGATAAGGGAAGGGGTTGCCTTCTAGTGGAGGGGAAAAGGACATTGAGATTCTGAGTTCTTTTAGTATTGCTTGACTATAGAGCAATAAAACAAGCTGACTGATTTTCTTAGTTGGCATACAGTAATTTTTAAGGAAATACCAAATGAGTCATCTGTATACAACAAGAGGGGAGTAAATCAAGGCACTTATGTTGAAGACCGAGTATAAGAGATCTGCAGAGGATACAGGTGCTTAATAATATAGTCTTCCTTCTGTCTATATATTTGACTGTTGAAGCTACTCAAGCTAGAATGTGGAAATTTACTTTAGTTATTTATATGCCAATTGTGACATAGTGGCAAATATTGCTGCTAATCTTCAAAGAGATGTACAGGGATATAGATCCCAATGCACCACAGTATCAAGTTATCAACACATAGTATCATACAGTTTCTCCTCTATGGCTCTGTAGTATCTAATTCTCCTTTAAATTATTTGGTTGTGCTGGATCTTTCTTTAGATTCATATTTGCTTGTTTCCCTTTTCCTATCTCCCCACTTTTAATTGTTTTATCTTTATTTATTGATTCCTCTGGCTTGAAAAGATAGTCAACTTTCTTTATTAGTTGTGCGTTTAGTTTTCCATTTTCAGGTTTACGCCTACATAATTACCAACACTAAAATTAAGTAATACTCTTGAGTAGGAAGCTCTTTACGTTACAAAGGGTGAAAGTGGGAAATACGTATAAAATTGAATTTTCCAACTAGCTTACAATCAAAACAAAATTTAGTTGCAAAAAAAAGGAATAAAATAAAGGAAAATAAATTGAATCTTAAAACACTCTTTCTTTTCTTTCTAATTATCTTTTTAGATTTAGTTTCGTTTTTTGGACCGTCTCTAAATAATGTTCTATTTGCTCCTAGTTTTTTTGTTTTCTTTTATTCCTTTCTTTTTCAACTAATTTGTGTTTTAACACTCATAAATATTTTATTCTATAATTTGTGGTTTGCAATTTCTTTTTTATTTTAAGTTTTGCATACATTTTTCTAGGTCTTTGAAACCTACCCCAAAAATTGGTATCTACGCTTCTTTGTATTTATGCTTGTTTATGTGTTACCTTGAAACTTAGTTTGTTTAGATAATGTTATTTCATCTTCTAAAAAGGTGGTTATATATAGTGATACATTTATATTTATTTTAAAGAAATGTATAACTTCTTATGACTTGCCGGTTAGTCATCGACTAGTATCTTCTACAACTTGTCGACGTGATAACCATGGTAGTGGGTTGGTTTGGGTCACCAAATTCTTCAATGGCCTGTTTGGAAACTTAAGTTTAGATTTCAAGTTTGGATTTGACCCAAGTTACACTTTTGGGAATCCAAAAAAATTGAATTTGGATTCGAGCCAAATTTCTCTAATTCTCAACAAAGATCAATTACAAATCCATACACCTCGTCATTTGAATTCCTGACCTTAAATTTTAGAATTGAAATCCAAGATTTTAAATAAATTCCTAGTTTCTAAACACTACCTAATTAATGTTATTTATAGGATAGCTAAGATGTCGAATGAGTGGAGGGAGAGTGTGGTGGTCGTGTTATACACGGGCCAAGAGGATTTCCCGAGTTAGCAATAATTATAGAGGCATCAAACTACTTAGCATTCCCATGAAGGTTTCAAAATATATCATTGAGACTAGGTTGAGGAAAGAGGTGAGCATTATCAATAATCAATTTGGTTTCATGCCTCGCCGGTCTACTACGAAGGCCATTCACCTCTTGAGGAGAATGATGGGGAAGTACAGAGACTAGAAGAGAGACCTACACATGGTGTTTGTTGACTTAGAGAAGGTGTATGATAAGTTTCAAGGCAGACTCGTGGAAATATACGGAGCCTAGAGGGGTATTAGTTGCTTACACCCATGCATCAAAAGCTTGCATGTTGGGGAAGGGTCAGGTGAAGGCTCTCGGGGATGTCTCTCGCCCCTTCCTGGTGGAGATGGGAGTACACCCGGGGTTTTCCCTTAGTCCTTTCTTGTTTGCATCGGTGATGGATGTTCTCATGCATCATATCTAGTGCCTAAAAGAGAGAAGCTTCAGTACCTTTGTTCAATGATCTATGCGAATGAGAAGATAGATGAGGATGTTGTTCATCACATTCGAACCGCTTGGGCAAAGTAGAAACTAGCTTTAGGTGTCGATCTTATGCGACAAAAAGATAACATCATACATGGAAGGGAAGTTTTATCGAACAGGGGTCAGACCAACTATATTATACAAAGTAGAGTGTTTGCATGTGAAAAAAAACTCACATTTGTCAGCTTCAAGTGTCCTAGATGGCTGAAATGGATGTGTCATCATACGAAGATGGATAAAATCTAGAACAAGGTTACTCAGGGAGAGTAGTATACGGTGCAAGAAGCTAGACTGAGATGGTTTGGCATGTTAGGAGGAGTACAGAGGCCCCAATTAGGAGATGCAAGAGGTTTGTAGGAGTGGGTGTGAGAAGGGGTGAAGGTAAACCTTGGAAGGGTTGGAAGGAGGTCATTACACAAGACTTACGATTTCAGGATCTTGTTGAGGACATAACTTTAAATATATAGGAATGCCTAGAGGTCTAGGATTAGAGTTGTTGAGTGGACTTGTGGTCTTATTTTGTAGTTTGTGATGGTGTATTTTTATGCATTCACATGTAGCTTGTGCTTGTATATTTTTTGTGCTTTGGATCTCGTTGCTATAATCGTTGTGTGTGCTTCTTCTGGTGATGTTCGTACCTCATTCATGCTACTGTGGTTTCTTTACATGTACATTTGTAGGTTAGCCAATGGTCCCTTGAAAACAAACTCCCCACTCCCAAGTAGGGGTATGGTTTGCGGGCATACACTCTTTTGTGACTCTACTATTATGGGATTTTAATGGGTCTCTTGTTGTTGATGTTATGTTTTTACATAGTATGCAATTTTTTTTGGGAAAAGTCTCATTGTTATAGGCTAAATTCATATATGTGACTATGTGAGGTCCTTACTAGCTGTCTTGGATTACTGCAAACATGTTGTTTCATCAATAGAATGGTCAAGTATATGGTTTATCAAGTAGGTATATTTGGCATTGCTAATGATACTTATTGTATATAGTCATACATGAGAGGCATTCCTAAAGGCTGCATAGGAATGATGGTAATAATACCTTTCCTTCATTACATTTAAATCCTACATAAACTCACTAATATTTTACAGAGTACCATCGACGATGCCGGCGAGGGACTAAACAACAACTTGGAACTTTTGCTCCGTTTCTTAGAATCTAAAGGATTCAGACTAAGTAGGACCAAGACTGAATATATGAAATGTCGTTTTAGTGGCCAGGAGACAGAATCAAGGGTGGAAGTTAGGATTGATTCACACCCAATTCCCAAGGTATACAAGTTTCGGTATCTTGGCTTGGTAATCCAGGCGGGTGAGGAATTGGCCGGGGATGTTGCGCATCGTGTTGGAACAACTTGGACTAAGTGGAGGTTGGCTTCAGGGGTTCTGTGCGATAAGAAGATTTTGAGTTAGATTAAAGGAATGTTTTACCAGTCCGTAGTGAGGCCTGCTATGCCATATGGTGCAGAGTGCTGGGCAGTTAAGAAATCCCACGCTCGTCAATTACATGTGGCAGTGATGCTGATGCTGCGGTGGATGATTGGAAAAACGAGGATGTACACGATTCATAACGAGGTTATCCGAAGATGGGTAGGCGTGGCCCCTGTGGAGGATAAGCTAAGGGAAGCTAGACTGAGATGGTTTGGGCATGTGAGGCGGCGATGTGCTATCACCCTTGTGCGGAGATGCGAGAAACTTACATTGGTGGGTGGGAGTAGGGGAAGGGGTAGACTTAGGAAGAATTGGAAGGAGGTGATTAGTCAAGATTTAAGAGTTCTTGCCCTTACTGAGGATACGACCTTAGATAAGAGCGTTTGGAGAACTATGATTAGGATGGGCGGGTAGACGCCTTGGACTTAATGGTAGTTTTTCCACTTGTGTGCTTTGTTTGTCGTGTAGGTTTGGGCTTTGTGTTTGATGTGTTTTTGTTCTGTTTAATTAGTTTGTTCTAGGCCTATGTGCTTTTTGCCATCTTTGTCGTATGCCTTTTGTGATCTCATTTTATCTTTACTCTTTGAGCCGAGGGTCTCTTGGAAACAGCCTCTCTACTCTTGAGTAGGGGCAAGGTCTGTGTACACACACCCTCTCCAAACCCTACTCTCGTGGGATCCAACTGGGTTGTTGATGTTCCTCCATTCTTTTTTAACTAGGCCATTATGAATTTCTTGATACATTGAAAAATGAACGAATGTAGACATAAAGTATGTCTACATTCATTCATTTTTTTGATTATCAAGAAAATCGTAATAGTCAGTTAGTCCGTAAAAAAATAGAGGGAGTATCAAACAAGGGCCTCTCACCTACTGCTACTTTACGTTTTGTTCAAGAGCATTCACTTTTTATTTAGCAACAATACCAGATATGCCTTCTGGATATTTTTGATGGACTTCTTGTTTGCAGCAAAATAAAACATCAAGCATCATATGAAAAAGAGATGGTAGGCATGATGATGGTGGGGCTTATTTAAGAGGTAGTGTCTATGTATTGTCTTGTAAAGTTAGGCATCCAGCACCTTGTTGGACTACAAGAGATGAACTGTAGTAGGAAGATAATTACCACATGCGGCACAAAATTATCTTTTTTGAAAATGACACAATTTTAAGGGTAGGCTATTGATTGGATTTAAAAATGTTATTCATTTGGAAAATTACTACTCCCCCATCCCACGAAAAAAAATACGTTTCTAACTTGTTTTTGTCCCATAAAAGGACTCGATGTAGTCTCGAGTCTCTCGATTTGCCTAGAAATATAGATATATGTACTTCTTTCTTACAATTGTACTTTTTTAAAATATAAAAGTTGCATACTCATCAAAGTGAACTCTTTTTATGAGACTGAGTCTTTAATAACATGTGGTAAAGTTTATGCTGGATTGTTGAGGTTGAAAGTGTCTTTTCAGTAGTTTAAAATTAAAAAAAATTATGTGATGGGTTTTTGAAACAACCAAAAAAGCTAAACTTGAACCCCCCCCCCAAATCCCCACCAATCCTCCACCAACACGAGTATTGCTTTGACGCAGATTTTCTATATTAGTGTGGCACTGCAGGACGACTATAGATCAAAGAGGTGACTTCCTTGGATTGATTATTGATAGTAATGCGCCATTGAAGTCGACCAGGTAATGATAATTCTTATTAATGCATCTTAATTAGTGGAGTGTGCCATCACTTTGAGTGCTGCATTATGTTAACTTGCAAGGAGGTAACATAATGAAGGCAATGTTTCTTTAGTGCTTTTTTTTCAATGATGGAGAATAAAGACTGAGCACATAATAATGTCTGGAATGAGCTTTTTTTTTTTCAATGTGTCACCCACCAATTTAGTTTATCTAGTGTATGTAGTCTTATACAAATGACATGGAATCTTATACTTGGTTGACTATCATTTGTCAAACAGAAAGAATATGATATACCCTTCTGCATATATACCCTTGGGATATTGTGCACTAAGGGTCCGTTTGGAAATGGGGAAAATGAGTAAAATGGTAGAAAATGGTGTATTTTCCAAAAGTCATTTTCTATTTTTCTAGTGTTTGGTTACAATAGGGAAAATCCACAGATCCAGAAACAACGGCGAGGGAGAATGCAAATCGGCGGCAGAGGAAATGGAAATTTGTGGTGACTTGGAAGATTTTTAAATCTTAAAAATTAAATCACAACAAAATTCACACCAGTCAAAGTATTTGAACTCGCTGTGAGGATTATTAGCACTGTAGCAGTGGGAGGCAGATCTCCATGAAAACTTATTCGGTTTTCATGGTGGCAGCGATGGAGAGGGGGGATATCGGCGGAGGAGGAGAAGTTATTTCTCCCTTTCCAAACGGATCCTAAGCTTTTTGCAAGCCCACTTGTGAGGGTGTATGATTCTAGACGGGCCCTTTGTCAATTATAAGGCTATTTGAGGCATGCTACAAGTAGCTGGATTTTTTTTTTCTGAAAATAATAATACTCCGTAATCCATAAGAATCATTTTTAAGATACCAATTGAATCATTTACTCGATTACTCTGAAAAGAAAAATGGTAAAGGTTTATAATAATGTGAAGTGACATTCATTCGGTTTGAGCATGCACAAAGGCAATGGGTAGTTATTATACAAGTAATAAATAGTTTCTTTGAGTTTGAGTACACAGAGAATGCATGGTTTTAGACAACATGATGTTTGTTTTCCATGGGGTTTTGTTTGCAATTGATTGGTTTGTAAAATCCTCTATCTGTTTTCCCATTTGACTTTTTACGGTCTTCAATATTTGTTGTACTTTAACCATTAATATTTATATTTATACATAGATATATTTTATAAAAATTGATATTTGAAAATTACGTTTCAATACAAATATATTGATTTACATTGTATTTTTTCCACATATTAGAGTCAAAGTTTACAAACTTTGACTAAGAAAAGTCAAATTGAAAGAACATTTCTGGACAGAGGAAGAATCAACCAACAATGTTGACATTAGTGCAATACTTCCCAGTTCCCAAGTTATTTAATTCTCCCTCGGTTTCCTTTTAGGAGAATGCTAAAAATCCCCCACTTTTGCTACCATGCATGCCCCCCTACATAAACATGTGGTAGGGAGGCAAGAAAAAAAGAATTTGAGGGTGGAGAGAGAATGAGTGGAGATAAATATGTGGTGGAGAAATGGATGGAGGCAAGGTTGGTAGCAATGGTGGGGGGTGTGTAGCATGGTCCTTCATTTTATTCTATGATGTACTCCGTATAGTTTAATTGGACATACCTTTTTAATAGAGCTGAGATTATATTTTTTATATTTATGTAGATAGTAAAAAACACAACATTGATTCCATATAGTTTTTCATGTAATTTAAAATAAATAATTTCATATCAAAGTTGGGAATTATCAATCGTTTTAACTATTAAGATGGTGTTTGTCATTAGAGAATAACTTTAGAGCTTCTACTTCATCCAAAAACAGTTTTGTGTGTTTGGCAAATCTAATTGTGTCTATGGCGTATGGATTCTGAGTGCAAAATGAGCTCCAAAAGTGCTTTTGACAAAGTTGCAGTTCAATGTTTTTGGCTTCTGCGTAGTGACTTTTGTTTTTCAAGTAATTCATTGCAGTGCCAAACACCTTCTAGATACGAGATGAAATAATGTGGCTCCCCATTCATAAAACTAAAAAATGTTATTTAATACAAATATTAAATTAAATTTTGTTTTGATAAATGACAGATTAATTTTTTTTAAGACGTATAAAAATAGATAAAGTATTTTGGAACAATATTTCCATTGTCCCCTACCTTCTAAGGAATTAACTCAACCAAAATTGTTTAAGTTTGCCGTTCTAATCTAGATATAAAAAAGATTGTATAGTCTAGTTTGTTCCTCACGTGCAAAATTTATTTTTGCTCGAACTTTGCATGTAAATATTAATTTTTAAAACTAAGTGGTAGCGTCAGACGTGACCTCTATGTCAATAAAATTTGAAAACATGTTACTCTGTGAACAGTACATGTACTCAAACAACGATTTAATGATGGCCAACTCAACCAAGCATTCAAGTTTGTTATTGTAGCCCAGGAAATTTTTTTTAATTCATATATTCTAACACGGCCAACTATGCACATGAAACCGAAATTTTTTAAAATTAGGTGGCAGAAAGTTTTGAACCCGTGATTTTTTAGTCAATAAGATTTCGATACCATGTCAAGAACTAACTAAATCAAAAGTTCAAACTTGTACTTGAGGTACATGAAACGTTTTTTGTATTCTAAATTTCTAACCATTCATATGAATTATTTGTGCACTGCAATTTATTTTAATTAAAACACGAATCGATACATTGATTAAAAGAGATTGATATGCAATTTACCAAACACGAACCATACAATATAATTAGTGGTGAGCAGAAGAAGATTCTTACGGGAATAACTGCTACGGAGTACATACAAACATCATTTCTTACTCTCTCTGTCCCTCATAGATCTTCCCAATAGCCCTTTTTCTTTATCCACAATAGATCTTCTCATTTCGTTTTTTAACAATTAAAATACCACAACTACCCCCACTTATTTTATTTATTACACCTCACCCACCTCATTTAATACCCTCCACCCATTTTTCATTAAGGGTATTATGGTAACTTTCACCTTTTTTCAACTCTCCTTAAAAACCACCAAAAGTCAAAATGAGAACATCTTAGGGGGACGGAGGGAGTATTTTTTTTGAAGTTGTCACCCACGTATTCATATGGATATATATATATATATATATATATATATATATATATATATATACACACACACACACACACATACATACATACATACATACATACATACATACATATATATATATATATATATATATATATATATATATTCTCTGTTTTGGAAAAAATAAAATTGGTTAACCAAATTTATTTTAAATTTAATTTATTTAAAGGTGTATTGCCTCGAATATAAAAATAAAATTTATATATTTATAAGTAATCCTAAAAAAATTTATAAAATAAAATATTTTTTTGAAGGCAAAATGTGAATGGGAAATAAAAGGGTTTGGGGTATAGAGTTTGGAGGGAGCAATAAATGTCTTTTCCTCACTTCCAACTTGTGTTGGTCCGTTGGTTGCTGGTCAGGTGGTCTCCCGGCCGGTACCGGTTCATACCCTCTCTACCATCTTCTTATCTACAACTCATTTCTGTGTTTCTATATTTTATTTTTAAAAACATTTATTGTAATAACTCTGCGAACCGTATTTATCTGGTTATGACCATATAAGGTGTGTAACGGGTCACTCTGAAATATTATTGTAACGGGTCATTTCATGTAAAAATATTATTAGAACTAAACTTGAATGATTTGATTACATATAGATTCGCTATTTATAATAGCTACAAGACCATGACCTAATTACGAGCCCAATAAGAATGAGCTCGTTAACGACAAATCCTACTACATTCCTTAACACTCCCCCTCAAGTTGAGCATGAGGTTAACGAATGCACAACTTGGACAATAATAAAAAAACTAGGACTAAAAAAAAACTTGATAAACAACTTGAACTTGATCTGCTGTGACAACAACGAACGAAGGTGACCGGCCCTGCAAACGAACAATAAATTTTGATGACGAATGACTCCCATCCACGCGGTGACACGGGGACGACTAACAAGCATCCCAAACTTGGAGGTCGTGTTGTCGGACTGAGGCGCGACTATGCGACCAACCTCACAAACTGATATGTCGAACTGAGGCGCGATTATGCGACCAACCTCACAAACAAACATGTCGAACATACAGCTGGTTGCACTTGAACATACGAAACAGCAACCAAAAACAATGTCGCCAAAACGTCACCAAATTTCGATGACGAGTAGAGTGAACATAAACACCTTATTCCTGGGAGCACGAACAAATCAAACCAATACCAATTTAATAACTTCCAAACACCAATAATTGAAGTTGCTGCTAAAACCCACCAGACACAACGAACAGAATTGAAGAAACACAAATAGCCAAACACTAGCCAATTGATTATAAATGACTCGCAGTGAATGAGTAGTTTGATGGCGGCTAGTTGAATGAAACTTTGAGGCGGCCGAATGAATGAAGCAATTCCTGCGAGACTATAACAGAGGCGATTGGCAACAAACGACGGAAGCTGATTGACAGATCTAATTGTCAGCAACGTGCGGCACCGCAAGATCAAGGTGAAGGGAAAAGATGGTGATGCCGCCGTCGCCGGACAAACCACCGGCGACGGCGACAGCGGAAGCAACAAAGTAGAGCAAACTAGGGTTTTGGACTTTTAGCTTCCCAGGTTGGCTCTGATACCATGTAGAAATATTATTAGAACTAAACTTGAATGATTTGATTACATATAGATCCGCTATTTATAATAGCTACAAGACTATGACCTAATTACGAGCCCAACAAGAATGAGCCCGTTAACGACGAACCCTACTACATTCCTTAACATTTCATTTCAAATGAGTTTGACCACATTTATACGGTCACAAAATTCTGACGACATAATTTTTGTACATTCGATAAAATATTTATATCACCTAAAGTGTGTAAAGTACTTTCAAATAATTTCTATCCATAATAAATTACGTAATGGGAATTTTTTTAAATGGGGATAGAAATATTTTAGGGAGTGCGCAAACAATTAGGCCGATAGAGTTTTAATTTGTAAAACAAAGGAAGTATGTATTATACTCCATATTTTTAAGTACTAATTAATAATTCTATTACAGTTATATTATCTTTTCATATATACTTTTCCAATAATGGGGAATTGAACCCGTTATCACCTCCCATTTGAAAGAGTCGCTTTGGTGTAATTTGACCACAAGATATTTGGCGATATTTTACCCAATACTAGTCCATCCGTTCTCAAAAACACTTCCTCTTTTATTTTTTCACTTCCAACAAAACACTTCCCCTTTCTATTAAAAAATTACTTTTACCCTTACTTTTTCATACCCTACCTATCACATCATATTTTTTTCTCTAATAATAAATCCATCACATCTTACTTTTACCCATCACATCAGGGGCAAAATTGGAAGTCAACTATAATTTTACACTTCCTTATTTTGCCGTATAGTCAAAGTGGGAAGACTTTTTCCAAATGGAGGGAGTATGTATTATTCTAATTTCTCTTTTAAAAATGTGTCATTTTGTATATTTCTTTCATTTCTTGCAAAAAGGGATATGTTTCTCCTACTCTCTCCGTCCCAACTTTAATTATTTACAGCAGATGGCTTTTTTGAGACAAATGAAGTATTACATTGTGAAATAATAGACTTAGACTCATTCAACTCTAAAAGTTAAGTTAAAGGATTGTTGTTACATCCAAGTTATTATGGACAAGGTAATATTAGGTTGCACAATTGATGTGGGAATGGAAGAGTTAAACTCAACATACATTTATAGTTTAACTTTAAAATACGGAGTAAATTTAACCGCATACCATGTTTCTAAAAACGAGGCAAAATAAAATCAAGTTTTTTCAATTTATTTTATTTAAATATTAGTATTGAAATAAAAAATAAAATTAAC